AAACTGATAGGCCTATAGCGGCTTAGCAGAATACATAGCATAAGTTAATAAGGCCGCTTACCGGCATTGTACGCATTGCGTACATTGTGGGAGTTCCATTGTTGGTACATGCCACCGATGGCGTAGCAAATAGAACGCATTTGGAAACACCCGCCACTACTGACATCGCACCGTAGAGAAGCTGAGAAACGAGATACAATAATCTGCTTATTACTGAAGGATGAATGTGAATGTGTGAATGAATGTGATTGAATAAGAATAAATGAGTATGACTAAGAATGAGTTGAGGTGATTGAGGATGATTGAGGATGATGTTCTGAGGAGCGGATTATCCGCGCTACCGCTCGGGGTAAGGTGAGTGATGGCATGTCTCCGCTGTCGAAGGCAGCTGGCTTATATCGGCTGCGGGAGCCGCGTGCGTATGCAACCGCGGTTAATTTGGATTGTTGATCCTGCACCGCAATAGACTGTACCTAACTGCCTGAGACATCAAACGTCATTAGCTTCGCTGTTTCGCAAGGAAGTAGTGAACTGTTCCACTGTTACATCTCCTTCGGATAAGCCATCGTCGCTATGCTACTGAAGTCAAACCTGAATCGCTATCTTTCCTAAAACACTGAACATAATTGATCGAGAAGATTACAAAGCGTTACATTGCGGTGTTTGATTTGCGACTGCGAGGCGGCCATATTTGGACATCAAATACTATTATTTAGATGGATAGAGAACTTTTCAAGAGAGAAGTTCTCTATAACGCGCATGCATGCAGAAGTTCCAAGGCAATACGGACCAATAAAGAGATGGATTTCATCCCAGTACCAAAGGGAAAGTGCAATATGGCTTCGCTTCCGTATCCAAAATCTTTTCTGTAGCCTTAGGATCTCACAACTATCCTAGAGACTTCACGTCTGAAGAGCCCTTAATGAGGAATATTTGAGGAGTTTCATTGTCCTAATTATATTTTTTTCGCCTTGCTCGATTACCTTTTGATTCCTTTCGACCTTTTGATCGATTAATCACAGAGATCTCTGCCACTCTGGAAGAATCCTAGGCAAAAGTCAGCAGAAATCCCTTCAGTACAAAAGGGCTGATAATTCCGAGTAACGAAAACCTAAAAATCCCTACCCTACCATGGCCACTTCGGAATTTCAGAAAAAACCAAACTCAAGTGGCATTCAGCATGTCAATAAGTAGGGAATGTGACATATCCTCAAAGTGCCATTGAGCTCACGTATAAAACCGACAGATGACGGTTACAAGGTATTTCTTTTATTTTTGCTTTTATTTGATCCGTCTTCATGTCTACTGTGCGGATCCCAGCACTTCTCACATTCGATTCGCTTCCTCGCATCCATTGCCCACGAAGATCTTCCAGCTTTTACGTGCGGCTTTGGTTGCTGCTTGAGGATTTCTATTTCATCTTGAATGTTGTAGAATGCTTGTTGAGCAGCTCTCTCTAGAGTCCTTAGATAGCGGGGCTGTAGTGTTCCCGATTAGATTGCAGAGAGTGATTTTTTTTCCAGACAAGCCCGGTACAAGGTATCTAATAAATTAAAAGGAGAGTTTTGTGAACCTTTATATATTTGGGGACGGGCCATCACACTAATAGTACTTTTAATACAAAAGAAGTACATTGCAGCAGATGCTATGAAATATGCTCAGCTCAGGTTATATTCAAAAATGATCGTTTGCTTGATCAACTTATTGATTGTTGTAAAAATGAGTTCAGGGCGAGCACCATAGTTGCAAGACACAATGTTTATTCTTCGAACCAATCAAAATAAATGCTTCCCTTTGTCGAGGAAGTAAGAAGAAACTTCACGTAAGCAGGAAATTAAGTGCTAGTAGCTCGCTGGGTGTTCCCTTGCATGGCCTTAACTGAAGATCCGTTTAGTAATTTCAGAGTCATTAAATGACCTTGGCAACGGATAACTTCTCGTTGTGAATCGCTCCACATCCAAAATTAAGGCAGTTACCAATTAACAAGGCATAGGTGGACAGCATTCGATTAACTGTTGGATTACTGTGAGAACATTATATTCAAGTAGAACAGACATTCAAAGGATAATGAGTTTAGCGTCGATCTTTCACTTAGGGATGCCCCAAGTATTTGACTTCACTAACCAAATGCTACACCTACTTAATTTTGTTTTGCTTGCACAATGGGCGGCACATGATTTCTAACTTCTCTCGCAATGAGTTCATATGTGACCCATCTCCTTCCGAAGCACCTCCTCCGCCTACCCCCAGCAAATGGTCTTCACCCTTTATTTTCTATTTTCCACTCCACAATTCGAATTTTTCCGTTCCTTATTGGTAATCTATCTTTTCACGTCCTATGCATTCTGTGTGTTCTTCTGCGTGTTGTTCTATATTTCGAGAGCATATCCAACTCTTGTACATACCATAGAAGCCCATCCACCTTTAACCCATGTTTCTGGCAGCACTTAAAGTCTTTTCATGAAGTCGTACATTTCTTCCACATATAATTAGATATATTTCCAATTTACATGTATTTATAAGTTCAGAACAGAAGTTTTCTTGGAAACGCCAGCCACAAGATCTGTGTTGGACAGCCTATCAAGTAATTACAAGAAGAGCAGTAAAAAATTATGTTGTAAAATAAACGGCCGAAAAGATTGTGCTTCATGTGTGACTCATGCCGGCTAGTTTGCTTGAAACGCGTGCATCGTACATCACTCACGAAGACGATAATAGACTAAGCACCACAATGGTAAATGAATGTCAAATTCGCCATCGCAATTACTTCTGGGAAACTAACGTTGTATGAAATAAGTGTTTTCTATGTTCCAGACAAGGCTATGTGAGGTTTAGTTCATCCTGGGCCCGATTTCGAAACAAGTGCTCTTTGAACGCAACGGTGCTCGCGTTTTCAAATGTGAAGCAAGGTTTTTATTGATGAGATTATATTAACTTTTTATTTGCTGCCCACTATAATTTTTCAAAGCATGGTAAGATGTGAAATACAACCACAACGATGTTGTTGAGGAGGTAGAAAACTAACTGTGAGAAAGCGAGAGCCTCAGTGGTGCACTGTGTAATACGAGAGATCCCAGAAAGGATAATCGTGGTTCGATCTGGCCCTGAGTCCAAGTTTAGCGAATACCTTAGCATCGTTGGGATTTATGGAATATTTGAAAGACGGTAGCACCATTAGTCAGCTTTACTCATCGAAGCATCATTTCACAGTCAGTTAAGCACAACAAAAGTTTCTGTACCAACTTCATGTAAGCTCGTCAATAAGACAAGTGATTGATTGTCCCATTAGGCAACAAAATAACCAGGTTCTATTCTTTCAGAAACAATTCCTTATAAATCATATCACCATCACTAAACTTATAGAATTATGTTGACATAACATACGGCGTGTGTTCTGAGATTATTGAGAGGAAAGAGAATATCCCAATTTTACTGAAAATGAAAACGTTTTCCACAGAAAAAATTTCCTTCTTCGTGTTTGTTGATCAACGAGCTCAGTCATGCTAAACCAGAACCTCATTCCACAGTTGTTCAGTTTTCCCATAATCTGTTAACATTTCCAGCTGAAAACAAAGGTACATCTGACTAGTAATAAACAGAATGAGAACATGGCAGGGTGCCACGCAATTACTTAAGAAGGAGTGTGCTCTCAAGCTCTCCTTTATTGTCGTTGAAAGTTATATCTTTTGTAAAGTACCGAATAAATAAGGGGTGGTGGTGGGGTGGTTAAGAGAAGTTCTAAGAAGGATAAAGTAGACGAAACACAGTTTTTGAGGAAAATCTGGTGTGAGAAAAAGGAATTGTGGTAAGTAGTTCTTTCATAAACAGGTCTACATCCTATTCATATCTTGAAAACTCAGTGAATGAATTGATTCATTGATTGACGAACTCAGGTATATTGATCTTGGTTATATTCTTATTAAAAAAGGATGAAGACTAAAGCTTTCGGTTTAGAGGGACAATCCTTGAGGGATGCGCCGTGAATTCGACTTCATTAAACATCGTTTCGAGGTGATTGAATGCATATCTGGCTTTTATAAAGACTCGCGGTGACCTACCGATGTATCGAACCATTGCTGCTATCCTCTTAGACAAGTCTGGTACCAGTTTGCCGACCCTGGTAGCCTCAGCGCGACTAATCAATATGTATTCCTTCTGTGATAAGCTTATAGCTCCATAGTCTTGTATAAAAGGGCATTATCGAGTGAGTGTGGCTCATTCGATAGAGATACTCCGCTGAGGAAGACCCGACTAGATGCGCGACGAAGATGTTACCTCGAGACCGCGAGCAACTGTGGACCATCGACTGGGATCATCGGCTCTGATGAAGACGATACCGTCGAGACGTTAGCGGAAAATAAAGAATGCTATCAACGTTCTGTAAGTTTATCAAAGAAGGAATATATATTGAGTTGGTTTTGTATGCCCCATTTTCGCTCAAGGGAATGAAACTCTCCGAATACTCCAGTTGCGTCCATTTAGGTCGGGAAGTCAACGTGATGAACGACTTAGCTTCAGAGTTGAGCAAGAGAAAACGAGCGGCTTAGGGAACTTTCAAGAGCATAGAGAATGTAGTGAAGAGAGCGATGAACATTCGGCTTCGTGTCCCACATTTTCGACTCTATTTTTCTTGCCTTAACGTATGCGTCAAAAACCTCTTCACTACGTAAGCAGGATGGAAAGAAGCTACTATAAGGGCACAATCACAGCTATCAAGCATCACCATCCTGCATAAAAGGGCATTACCGAGCAAGTATGCTTTATTCGAGAGACAGTCCGCTGAGGTAGACACAATTGAATAAAGTGCCGAAGATACCACATCGAAACGAAGAAGAACGGTAGACTATCGACTCGGATCATCGGCTCTAATAAATAATAAGACGTCAAAACGTTAGCCGAAAATAGATATATTTATCAGCCTCGTGTAAGCTCATTAAGGAAAGAATACATATTGATTAGTCATACTGAGGTTAGAGAAAAGTCGGTTCTGAAAAACCAACTCATTTCTCAACAACATGGCTTTTGTAAGATTTAGTCGTTCCGCAGGCTTTATCAAAGTCGGCATGCATCTGTTCCGCTTTGATAATGTTTGGTGTTATAAGGACGATGTCATCATCAGCAAAGCGAAGATGGTGTAACTGCCGACCATCGATTTTCACTCCCATATTATCCCACTCCAATGTTGGCATGACGTTCTGGAGTGTGGCGGTAAACAATTTTGGCGAGATGGTATCGCTCTTTTGTATACCTTGTCTAACCCCTCTTTTGACGTCATTGTTAATATCGTTGTGGAATGTTGATATTTTGGTTGCGAAATATTTGTGCAGCTTTCGACGAATACACGCTAATTTAAGATATGTACTGCATACTGGCTTTCGCTACCACTTCGTAGTGTAGCCATTTTCGGATAGGTTAATTTGAATGTCGAAACCAGTTTTTTTCGGCTTCTCTCAGATAAACTTAATGTAATCAGACTGTTCATTTAACAACTCAAAATATTTGTTCATTTCCTCTCGCGTTGATATATATTTACATATACAGTAGAGCAATGGCCGGAGAGCGGTTGCTGGTGCTTTCACCTTGGATAGAAATGCAATGGCAAGGCTTCGTGCTAGTCGTTGTCCCATTGCCAATCCTCTCATGTGTTCGCAGTACCTCCCTGGTCACTTGAATATTGAGCAGTTTAGGCACTCCTTTAAGAGTATTACTAATTGCTGAATCATGAAGCCATACGTGTTTACTGCTCCTCCGTGTTGTATAAGGAGTTCGAGAAAAAAAAATCACCTGTAGCTCTGTCGATCGTCGGGTGACTTGAGCGGGCGCCAGTAAATCTTCCATTTTTCCATGTCGCGTGTAAGAGTAGCCTAGTGGGTTCTGCTCGCTTTAGGGACCCGTCGAGCATCATATCTTTCTTCTAGGCTATTCGTAAAGAACTCTGGCCATCGGGTCGGTGGTCTTCCTGCAGTACCCTTGACATCCCGAGGAATCCAGTCACTAACGGCTCTTGTCCATCGGTTGTCGTTCATACGCATTACGTGTGCGGCCCACCTTATCTTCGGCTGTTTGCCTTACAAAACGGCACCTTTGACTTTTGATCGCTGACGCAGGTCGAAGCCTCAGATCTCTTACCTTGCTTGCGTGACACGGGATACTCCTAGCATCGCCCTTTCGACTGCGCGTTCGATAACGCTGAGTGACCTTTCATTATGCTTAGGCAGCGAGCAGATTTCTGACGCATACGTTAGGGCAGGAAGTACCGTTGGCTCAAAAAAGTGGGCACAAAGTTGGGTATTCCTTGTTCTCTTCACTACATCCTTGATGCTCTTGAAAGATCCCCAAGCCGCTCGTTTTCTTCTGTTCAGCTCCGGAGCTAGATCGTTCATTATATTGATTTCCCGACCTAGATAGATATAACTGGAGCATTCGGAGATATTCGTTCCGTTGAGCGCGAATGGGGCATACGAAACCAATCCATTCTTCACATACATCGTTTCTGTGAGATTCAGTCGAAGACCAATCTTTCCACAGGCTTTATCAAAGTCGGCAAGCATACCTTCGGGTTGGCTAATGTTTGGTGTTATAAGGACGATGTCATCAGCAAGGCGAAGATCGTGCAACTGCGACCGTCGATTTTCACTCCCATATTATCCCATTCCAATGTTCGCTTGACGTTCTGGAGGTTTACCGTAAATAATTTTGGCGAGATGGTATCGGCTGTCCTTCGTTTAGTGCTCTGTCAATCCTGTTTAGGATGACTTGAGTGAAAAGTTTGTAGACAACAGACAGTGAGCAGATTGGGCGATAGTTGCCGATATCGTGCAGGTAACCCTTCTTGAACAATAACACGGTCTTGCTGGTCTTCCACTCAGTAGAGACCTTGCATTCAGACAGGTAATGTGTGAAGAGCAGAGCCAGTGTGTTTACGAGGACTGGCAGAAGGTTCTTCAGGTGTTCTGGTCTTATCCTCTCCGGACCTGGTGCTGTTCGATATTTCACCGACGAAATAGCATGTCGGATTTCGGAAGGGAGAACCGGTGGTACAACATGTCCATCCTCCTTTATTTCATATGACGGAAGGTGGACGTGGCTATCGAAGAGATCCGAGTAGTATTCGTGAATGATTTTCTCTATTGCCTTTCTGGATGCTTTAACTGTTCCGTCTGGGCGTCGGGGTGCAATCATCTTGGTTTCGTAATTGACGAAGCTTCAGTGTATTTTGCGAATGCTTTTCCCAGCTTCTGCAGCTTCGACCATTACTACTGCTCTTTTCTCTCTTTTCTCTTCAAAATCTTCTTTTATCGCCTTTCTGCATTGTTTTGCAAGCTCGGGCGTTAGTACATGATTTCCTGCAGCTCGTGCGATTCCATGCTGGCGTATCAGCTCGAGTGCTTCTGGTGATATACGTCTCTTTGTGACTTTCGAACTCCCAGCTTTCATAGCGCTAACGCGGAGATGTTGAACAAACCGATCGTATTCTTCGTTGATGTTATCAACAACGGCTTCTTCCCGGTAGCCGACTGATGAATAGAATAAGCACCAGTTTGTGGTGGTTATGGGACTTGGGTTTTTGAATTTAGCGGATTTTTCTCCTTTCCGCGAGAAATATAATCTTGCACGAAGGAGATGGTGGTCTGATCCCGTGCAGAATTTTGGGACAACAGCGACATCGGTTGGGCAAAACCTTCTATTTACTATTATGTGATCTATTTCGTTATGGTACTCTTCACTAGGAGACTCCCTGTCCGGCTTCGAGCGTGGGGCTTCTGGAATTGCGAGTTACCATGGATGGTCTTGGTAGCCATGGTAAACTCAGATAGCCGCTCACCCTGTTCGCTTCATTCTAATCCATGGGTCCCAATGTGATGTTCTACAGACGTTCTTTTTGGTCCCATCTTGGCATTGAAATCTCCCGTAATGACCTTGAAGAACGTGTGGTCTTCTCTGTAGAACTTCTCCAAGTCCGTATAGAACGCTTCGACTTCTTCTTCGTCATTGTTTGATGTGGGCGCGTAAACGACGAAGATTGTCAAAGTCGGTATTGACCCACATCTTTTTAATCGTAAACGTCCGATTCGGCTTGTAAGCTGTTCGAATGAATCGATGTTCATGGACAAACTCGTGTTGACGAGAACGCCGACGCCGCCGAGTCCTCTACTGTCGCATGTTCAGAGGAACAGTTCCTCTCCGGTATCATAGACGGCGTTGTAAGGCTGGCGTCTTCTCGTCTTGGCCAGGCTGATGACGTCGAACCTTTTCTTTCTTTCTTGCTTGCATGAGCAAGTCTTCTATCGAGGACTCGCATGCAAGTGTACGTGCATTGTAGGTACAGATCGTCACCTTAGTTCTTTGCAATCCAGGCAGCTTCCGTTGGCCCTGAGATCTTATCAGCCTCTCCGTACTGGTCCAACTCAGCGCTGCGAAATTGGGGGCTCTTTCGTGGTCAGGGGAGTGAGGCCCGTTTTTTTTTCACTGTGTTTAACATTTTGATACCCACGTATAGCTTGCTGGGTTCTGAACGTGGGGGCTGTGTATACTCACGGTTGGTTTGCTAGGCTCTCCCAGAGTGGACATGGAACTTATTTGTTGGAGGCGACTCCTAACCGCCTCCCATATACTTCCCATTCATTTGATTGCAGGCTTTTGGCCGATTTGACTCATAGAATACAATCTGCACAAACTAGAACGCATCCACACACGCGCGCATGAATACGCTTCGTGAATACAGAATGGATCGGCGCAGCAGAAACAAGGAGTCCATCCCCTGGATCCACCTTCGTCTCAGGGAAGCAAAGGTCGCTTTTGGTTCGCGGTTAACACCCTATCCGCCACCTGGGAACGCGCCACGTAGCCTTGCGACTAACGTTCTCGAGATCCCTCACATGAGGGAGATCCGTGGTATTAGGTTGCAACATATAAAATGTACAATTTCAAATGTAAAGTTTAAATAACCATAACGTCTTCATGCTAATTTTTATCAATCGAGCAAGGTTAAAATTACCTCATGTTTTTTTTAACCAAAAACAAATTTACTTATTCTATTTTCTTAAGATTCTGGAATTCTGAAAGCGATGGATGCGTTGAAGGAATTTTTTGCGTCATCGTGGTTGCTGGAGCATTTTGCGCCCAGGAAGTTGCCAAGGTGCTTGAATAAGTGGCAGTCGGTAGGGAGAGGTCTGATGAATACGGCGTAAGAGGCAAAGTTTTATAGCCCAACTCGTTCAACTTCTGCAGCGCTAGTTCCACAACTTGGGGCCGGGAGTTGTTGTGAAGAAGGATTGGCCTTTTTCTGTGGAGTAATGTCGGCCGTTGCTGTTGGAGTTTAATGTGTATTTCCCCGATTTTTTTAAGACTTCTCTGCCGTTAATCGTTTGGCCCGGATTCAAAAAGCTGTGATGAATCAGCCCAGCTGCAGAGCACTAAATAGTCCTTATAACCTTTTTCAGTGCAATTTTAGCTTTGGGAAGTGGTGTGGAGCCTGATGGCAATCCAACTATTGAGCTGAACGTTGCCGATTGTTGTTCAGAATCCACTTCTCGTCGCGCGTCATAATTCGATCAACAAATGGGGACATTGTTGTTGCGCAGAATAAGAACAGACGACACTTTAAAACGGGCTATTTTTTCGATTATCATTTAATTCGTGCGACACGCACTTGTCGAGTTTTCTTTCTTTTCTATACGATTCAAGTAAGTGGAAATTGTCCCTGTGCTTACGTCGAGCTGTTCTGCAAGCTCTCGAACAGTTATTCGCGCATTTTGTTCCACTATTGCCTTCCATTTATCGTCGTCAAGTTTATTGGAACGTCCGCTGCTTTCCTTTTCTTGGAAGTCGAAATCACCAGATCGGAATTTCTGGAACCATGTTTCGCACTGTTGATTTGCCAACACTTCTTTCACCTCGACCCCAAACTTGATGATATTCTGAGCTCTTGCCACGGCATTATGTCCACTTTTCCACTCGTACAAAAAGGATACGAATACCACATTGATTCCTGCTAAAGTTAATGCGTATGAAAGTATAAAAAAAATTGAAACAGTAAAATCGGACATTTGATATGTATCAACCTAATATTTTGCGTGCTATCGAAAAAGGAATATGCAAAACGTGATTTGGGTGTGTCATCTGGATTTTTTCGATGTCTTAGAAACTTTAAAAATAATAAAATGGATAAAGCGTAAAGTTTTCGTCGTTGGTCAATCCCTAGGTGATGCTCCATGCATTCGACTGCTATTCTCCCAGTCAAGTCTGGTACCAATTTGCCGACCCCGTAGGGATGGAGAGATTGGTGGCCATAGGCGCGTTCGGTACGACCACGGAATGGCTTATCAACTTTCCCATCCCACCGGAGTCGTGAAGTTGGCACCGAACTTGCTTAGGATCGGCGCTCCCTTAAATCTACATGGCTATGGTGTAGTGCAACCCCTCCTAAGACTTCAAGGGGAATCGACAGGGGCAGCACTCAACGGTATTTATGACGAAGAAGGAAAGTCGCCGATGAATATAGGAGTTTTCTAACGGCACGACTCATACGGAGATCGATCATATTCTCACGAACAGAAAATGGTGCCACTCTAACTCTTCAGTGGCGCATGAATTCTGTACTGGATCTGATTAACGTCTTCTCCGTGCGAAGATTCAATTCTGCCATAAGCTGGAAAATAACTGTCATCGTCCAAGAAGCACGATGCAACTCGTCTATGACGAAGATAGTATCAATGAAATCCTCTCCTCATATGACTGGCAAGTAAGGGATGACTCAACCGAGGATTACAAACTCTGCTCCGCTGACAGCTCTCATGAACGAAGATGAACCTATCATTGCATCGCTTCGTGATATGCACTATCACTAGATCGCACCATGATGTAGGATTAAAGATAACGGGAAGGTTCTCTACTAATCTTTTGCGTTCCACAACCTTCGTCTTGGACCTCGAATTTTCCCGTTGGTGAAAAACCGCCTAGAATATACTCTTCGAAGTTCGGGTTGTGGTAGAAAGCATGAGGAGAGGGACAGCTTCAGAACCTGATATAATCACTGCTGATATCCTTGGAGGTGGCGGTCACAAACTACATGTACTTCTCGGAATCTACGTAACATGTTGTCTTCAGAGAGAGAAAACCGTAAACCAGTGGAGGACGTCGCTCACGGTCATCATGCCCAAGAGGAATGACAGGAAGTACCCTCGCAACTGTCGTCCGATATGCTTGTTAAGTGTGCTCTACCAACTATTCACCAGAATTATTTTGCGCATATCGAATGCCTTGGGTGAGGCACAAGCACTTGAACAAGTAGGACTTCGGTAGGGATAATAATGCATGGGCAACGTCCGAACCGTATCGCAGGTCCTAGAAATCCGTCGGAAACACCATCTGTCCCCTGTTACCATCTTCATCCACTACGGCGAAGCGTTCGACAGCGGCTAGACGAATACAGTCCTATCAACTCTCACCGACCAAGGCTTGAACATATCCTACATAAAAAGCTCTAGCTGACTGTTATCGCAAATGCACCACGAAAATACAGCTTCTTCATCGACTCCTCACCATACCC